CACAAGGTAATACAAGAGGATCCTAATAGTAAGCAATGCTCTTACAGCTATAAGGAAATCCTAGGACCAAAGGAATCCCCTGGCCTTAGGAAGAGTTCAACTATAAAGTGATACTGAGGATCATTTTGGCTCTGAAGGATGGTCCTGTATGTGGAAGACCCACCGTCAGACCAAGTAAGTACCCAAGATCATTTTGGCTAAGTAGGGGGGGGCGGCATGGTATTGAACATACAGTACGTACCAGGTCCAAAGTCGGGCCGCACCGGAGCGCCCAGGCGATCGGGGAACCTGACCGATTCGTTAATGGAGCCCGTTGCTGGGCGCCAAGACGAACACCACAGCGCGCAACACTCGAGAAGTCGTGGTGGACTTCGCATCGTTGCATCTCCAACTACGAACCCAAATCGCCAAAACTCGACCTGACTTCACAACTACACAGCATTTGGATGCAATGGCTCCCTTCGAACGATTTTTTGCGTGTCTCCCTCCGAAACTGTGGCATAGACTCATGAGGCTGCGCAGCCGCTTGCGTCCGCGGCCGGCCCCTTAATAGTTAACACCTCTTGAGGCCTGATCCTCCGACATGCTGCCCGACTCGCTTGAGTCCAAAGACCTGGCCGCCGGCGAGGAAGGCGAGCAACTGCTCGCTGTGCTAGCTTCGGCGGCAGAGGCTCTGGTAGACGCCTTCAATTTGACGCTATATGCACGGCTTCCGACGTGACGGCAAATCAGCAACCACATCGAGCCGTCCCTGGCCCGCCCGCCCTGTATACAAGGCCATCTTCAAGGGGGCCCGCTTGGGCTGCGTCGGTCCCGCGCCTGCATACATTTCTCGAACTCCACCCGGACGACCCCGAATGGAAGACCAGTGGGAAGGCAACACTTCTGGAAGCGTAACGTTTCTCTTGAGTCCGCGGCGCTGAGGACCCTTTAGCTGAGTGGCCCGAGTCCTATCGGCACTGCCCGTCAGCACCTTAAACCAACGGCAAGACCACAAACAATAGCACAAACAAATACAGGTAGGGTTTCTGCCATGTGAGTGTGTGAAGTTTCGTGTACAGATTGGAACTGAATAGCACTCCGGCGAGCAATTGAAGCCCAACCTACGGAGTCCTTCCGTCAACAGACGGACTTAGTAATCCTAAGCGATATGAAATCTTTCCGCATGGCAACTATTTGTTGCCAGCCTATTGATATCAGCACGTACTCCGTACAGAGATGGAAGATCTTCACCATCACATCCGGGTTATCCGACTGACGTTGGAAGTTCTGCTCTTTTACCTTATCCGCGTAATCCGTGCATACATACGGATACACAACTCGCTATTGACAGGGAGCCTCTGACCACCTCAGACGTGATTGGCAAATAATATCCGTTGGCTAGTCCTTCCGCTCCTTCGTCTCCCAGGGGCCACTATCAAAGATAGCCAACGGGTACGAATTGTCTCCATCGGCATATCGCATGCAAAGGTGAGCTCCACCAAACGGCTCCTTCTGCGGCGCAGCTACAAAATGCTGCATTCCTATGAATCCTAACGAGTTTCCCAACGGCTAAGCCTCACGTGTATATGATGCTGGCCGTCCGGCGTTCGTCTTTCACGTCAACAGCCGTTGCTCCTCGTACCGTGAACATGAACACAAGCTAAAGCCAGTATCAACGAACCAAACTGATCATCACTGCATTGGGCCAGTGCTTACCAACGATAGTTCCCCTCTTACACAACGTCAAAGGTTTAAAGGGGTCGTCAAATCCAGACGAGGCTGTCTCATAACCTAAGTCGAAAATGTTCAAAAGAGTGAAACCCGCGGAGAAACAGCCGCCGCCACCACCACCGCCTCTCCCCTCATGGGCCCAACCCTTACTCAACGACTCGGACTCAAACGTTAACAAACTAGTTTTCTTCCCCGGCTCTGCCGAATTCACCGACAGCGAAAACACCTTCTTCACCGCCCAGGCCGTCGAGGTCCAGTCCGCCGCCGTCGCCCGTCCTTCGTCCACCGCCGAGGTAGCCGCCGTCATCAAAGCTGTCCGCCGGCACCTCCCGGACTCGGTGCCCATCGCCGTCCGCGGCGCCGGCCACGCCACCTTCCCCGGCGCCGCCAAGGCCAAGGCTGGCGTGACCATCGACATGCGTGGTCTGCGGGGCATTGATATCCTCCATGGTGGTGAAAGGGTCAGGATTGCTACTGGGCATACGTGGGATGATGTTTACGCCGCGCTTGAGGCGCATACTCCACCGCTTGCGGTGACGGGTGGAAGGGCTGGGCGGGTCGGGGTGGTGGGGTTCTTGCTTGGGGCCGGGTTGTCGTACCTTTCGACCAAGTACGGGTTTGGAGCGGATATGGTGCTGGCGTGGGAGGTGGTTTTGGCGTCTGGGGAGGTTGTGTGGGCGAGGCGGGATGATTCGGAGACGGCTGACTTGTGGGATGCGCTCCGCGGCGGTTCGACTAACTTTGGGGTTGTCACGGCGGTCGAAATGGCTTGTTTCCCGCACCCGGAGCACTTCCGCTGTGCGAGTATCCTTTATCTCTCGCCTGGCAGACAAGCGACTCTGCAGGGATTGGTTGACTATGGATTGAGAGCCCCTGCTGAGGGTGAACCTGTCACCCACGCGATCTGGACCATGACTCACCTGGCCGGGGTTCCCGTTAAGTTGATCAACATACTGGTGTCGACCACAGCCGAGAAAGGGGTTGGCGGTTTACAGGGTTTGGTCAATGCTCGCGCCCGCATCCCGCTGACGGGGAGTCTGAAGGAGAAGACGCAGGGCCAGTTTGCCAAGGAGATGGGCGACATGTCGCCGCAGGACGGTGTGAGCAGGGCCATCCACAAGTCCATCACGTTTAAGCTCAACGGCGAGTTTCTCAACACGGTTGTGGACATGTGGTACAAGAACGTTGAGACGCTCCGCCACATATCCGGAATCATGTACACGATCGTGTTGTATGCCCTTCCCGTCGGCATGCTCGAGACGTCGCGCGATACCACGGCCGCCTCCTCAAGCTCAAAGCCAGTCTTTAACGCTCAAGGTCTCCGTCCGGAGGATGGTCCATTGGCTATCCTGGAGATCTGCCTCTCATGGCGCGAGGCCGCAGACGATGCCTTCGTGGTGAAGACGGGGACACAGTTTTTGGGAGATGTCGCCCAAGCCGCAACTGACAGGGGGCTTGGACACCCCTACATATTCCCCAACTATGCGTGGCCCGACGAGCACGTAATGCAGTCGTATGGGCTTGAGAGGCTGGCAGTTCTCAAGAAGGTGGCCTCAAAGTGGGATCCGGACGGATTCTTTCAGAACCGGGTTGTTGGGGGCTTCAAGATCAGCAAGTGAGTTGTGTACGGGATGAAAACCGTCATCACATCACCAAGTAAATCGGTTGTGCAAGGGAGGGAGACATGATCTGATAACAATTATTGTAATAGAAGTTGTGTGTGTAAGTCCAACTTCCCTACTTAGACATCAGGCTGTGTGAATTCTGCCTTTCCGTCACTCCGCGTTGACTTTTGTCGAAGTTCCTCAAGCAGGTCCCGGAGACTTTGGTTCGAGTTGATATAAATCTGCTTTACACCTTGTCTCCGCTCCGGTTTCCTGACAATCCAGATCAATAGTCCAGAGAAAATGTATGTGCCTCCAGCTACTAAAACCGTAGTCACGACGAATGAGACGGTTTGGCCTAGATCATCCCATTCGAACATGCCAAACGCAAAGAGAATCTTAACATGGGTCAGTGATGGGTAAATCTGAGGCCACGGATGTCGTATCAACGGGTGGAAAGGCACCAGGCACTTACGGCAATGAAGCTTAGTGGTAAGTAGAAGATGGTGACGACGGTGAACGCAAGGATGTAATGGTTTAGCTGCGATGACTTGGTAGCTTCGCTGACAGAGGTTGCGTTGAAGAGCTGGGTCCGCGCCCGGTAAGCCAATACATCAACATGAAAGTTATCAGGATTACGATATTGTACGCGCAGACTTACGCCATCTCTGAGACTCTTAACCTCCTCTCGCTTTTTGGCGATGCGACTGAGTAGGTTGTTCCCAAGGCGTTGTTGGTGTGACAAGACCCTCTTCCAGTTCTGGTGGAATACCGCGAGGGCAGCTTCTTGGGCAGCGGGATATAGCGGAATAAAGGTAATTTTAGTTCCGCTGACAGTGTTCCTGCGCTCAGCCGAGAAACAGCGCTCGAGTATCCGAACATAGACTGACTGCAAATCATCCATACTCTCTTGTATCCAGTCCGCGGCAATGCGCAGGAGCTGTTCAATGGCGAAATAGAACTCTGACAGTTCAAAAGCACTGCTATCAACCATGACTTCCCGCCGGCCTTTGTGTGAGAGGATTCTCTCAAGCTATAGATATGAGATCCAATATTAGATGCTTTAGGTCAGTGACGACGGAAACAGCAGGAGTAGGTGTGCAGAAAGCAGAACGGCTTGTACTTACGTCAACCTTTAGTGCCTTGTCAATGTCGTCGAGCAAACGACTCCAGTTGTACGTCCACAGGCTCATCAATGAGAGAATCCTGGAGGCAAATGCCGTTACACCCGTTGCACGGATTGACGGCCGGATTTCGTTGTCGGTCCACTCAGCGCGCCCCAGTTCATCCGCCAACTGGAAAGCGTTCGGAAGTGTATCCGCCATCGTCACCATGGAGAAGACCGGCAAATCCAACTCCCAAGTTGTCCTCAGTCCGACCGAATACCGCAACTCCTTGATGTATAAACATTTGCCGCCGGTATTCGAGACAGTCAGTTTCCCACCAGTTTTAGTAAGAAGCCCGATAAAAGGAGGCTCCCTGTCGTCTACAGCCCACTTTGACACCGTCGTAAATACCCGCATGTGGTATAGGAGGAGAACATGTTCAGTCTCGCTAGGTGTGGCATAGAGAGACCCGGTCGCCAGTGCCTCGACACGATTATGGTTCCACTCTCCGCGGAATTGGCTTATGAATGTGCTGACGTCTTTTCGATTGCATTCAGGATTGTGTGAGCCACGCATGATGGCCGGACGGGGATGAGTTTGAAATTCACTGTCGCTGCAGAGCTGAAAGATGATCAACGTGAGAAGTGAATTGTGCTCAGTATCGTCTATGATATTTCTGGCATGGTATCGGACTATGCTAGAGAAACATTAGTCATGATCCAGTACAACCTATTGATGCAGAGGCAATCCTCGCGTTTTGTTACCATTCTTTTCCAAAGCGTTGGCCAGACCAAGGTGGCGAACGATTCTGATCCGGTTCGTTCTTCAACTGACATCACATAGTCATTAGCCCTAAATATGACATATCGAGTTGGACGGGAAGCATAGAGGATAATTCTGCATGCGACTATTCGGGCCTGGAACCCACCGTAGACCAATCTCCGAACTTATGTATCCCTGGTCGCTCAAGGGGCAGATGAAGCCGTCTTGGTCGTAACTGTACTGAAAGGCATTGGTCCAGGTAATTCCTCTACATGGAACTTCCCAAGACAGCACATTCGTCAGTCCTGCCGACAGTTCCTGCCTCTGCAGAACAGGTTTGAACGACGATTTGAGGCGAAGGCCTGGATTGGTCGAGACAAATTCCTTCCATGTCTCCGACTGAAATGTCTGGTCTGAGGGTAGCTGCTTCAACTGGTATGCAATCGTTCGCTCTTCATCATAGCTGCTTTGTTTCGGCTTGACGGGGTCGATGCTAACTTCGTGTTCCAGGATGCTGAGATCGATAGAGGCATTCCGGGCCATCGCTACAAGCACGTCAAGTATTGTTTCCTATGTCATCGGCGATCCTTAAGCATTGATCCAACACGGTTTGAGGAGCCTCTCTGGCATGAGGCCGCCTGAAGAGCTTTCATTCTGAGGGCCGTGTGTCTCCATGCCACATGTAGCTCGCACGATGAAATTCTGAGGATCGAACGGATGAAGAGCGGTAAGATCCCCCAAAACAGATGGGACTGGTGGGCTCTTGGGGCCCTCAGTCTGGGTAGGTACCTGCCTGTATTTACGACGGAAAGTCAACCTGTGACTTAGATTGGCGCGCTGTTACTATGCCTTGCAGGAGAAGTTGTGACCCCACTCTTTCCTCCATCAAATCATAGGGCACCTACCCTGCATCCGTTCACGTATGTTGGGCGGTAAAGGTAACGTGCAGCATTATTAGCCTCGGTTGTAACTTGAGAACAATCAATCAGGTATCTCACTGCTCAGAGCTCGCCCGGAGAGAGGACTACTTACTTTATATAGGCGCTTGCCTGTGAATCGAGCATATCCATGATGATTGGTTACAGACGTAAAGCTTGGGTTTCTCAAGTTCCAACACAGGTTTCACAACATCGTCCTCGAACGGTTTCCGAGGCCCCCTCCACGGCCAACCTTCCTTCCTCGGCCTCCTTCCACACACCAGATCTGAGAGGAACTGCAGGCAGAAGCATGGAAGAAACGAGGAATGAACTTGAAGCAGGAGCAATCTTTCTGAGTAGTTATTGAGTGGTTATGACACAACCGTACTTGAGCAAGATATCGTTACACGTACTGCACACTCCGCCCAGGCACTTGACCCAGTCATTCACCCATATCAGGCTACAATAACAACGCCCATTCCCAATTCGTTAAACGGAGCGGTTGCAGCAACCGCGTGTGGCAGCATAACATCGTCCAGATCATCGCGATCGCTCCACTGCCGCTCCGGGCCCCACCCGATTCTCTTCCCGTGAGCGGCCGCGACTCCAAGAAGGCCGGTCATCATGGCTCCAGACTTCTTAACGCTGGACCAGGCGTCAAAATGCACACAATCAAGAAAAGGCATCTCATTGAGCACGTCGCGGAGCAGGTTTCTGGAGAAGGTCTCGTAGAAGCCGTCAGCCCGACGGAACCCGTTAAAGACACCGTCGCTGGGGTCGCACTCGACGAAGACGGTAAGCTTGCGGACATTGATGCAGTCGGCAAGTCCCAAAGCCGAGTTGACGACCCAGCCGCGAGGCGGCTTATTCCAGCCAGGACCCAGACGCAGCTCAAGCGACCTGATCCAGCCTCGCTGACGGGCATTCAGCCGCGCAAGAAGGGGTTTCTTCGTCTTGAAGAAACGCCCGGGGTGCGTAGGGAAGAGGCGAAACGTGTGCATGCCATAGAACACTTGCGAGGCTTCGTTGTATATGGTTTTGCAGGTCCGAAAAATGCCCAGCTTTTTGTGGATGCGTTTGTAGTTATCAGGGTCAAGGTCGATGACATAGTCGATGTCATTGAAGTAGTAGGCATAGATCTCGATGCGCAGTTCTGCAGGCAAGTCCAGAAAGGGGAACGGCTTCTTATTCTTTGGCCCTTTCTCCACCGTGGTAGCATGCCCCAGACTAGACTCGGAGAGCGTCAATGAATGAATGGGGATCTTGGAAACCTCGTCTTCCGCTTCATGCTCGGCCTCTGAGGGATATGCAGACGGATAAGCAGAGCTAAGGGGGGTCGTGCGGCTCGAGGGGATCGGGGTCGGAAGAGACGATGCCCCGTTAGCACGGGACACCTTCCGCGTTGGACGTCTGGATGACATGGTGGGAGGCGGTAGACGCAATAGATTCGATTGTTGGGTAGTAACGTTGTGTCAATGCTTCCTGTAGCCATTGTTAGTGAACCGGTGAGGTCCAAGACTCTTCATCGTAGCAAAACCACATACATCTACTTGACCGCAAGATTGCCGCGGGCGCGAAAGATAGATGGACCGGCAATTGCCCCGGCACAGTCGTTATGCTCAAGCTGGCAAGAATACAGAACTCAGAGGGTGGTCCCATGGCGGAAACAAATTCGCGACTACAAGACCACCCTCTAGAATGCATCCGCGGCAGCCATGGCAGGCAATTCTAACGGGGTAGGGAGTCTGAGGTGGTAAGAAGTGAGGACCATGGAACTCGGGATGGCGCCTGAGAAGAGAAAAGGGGGCAAATCTCTCAGGAATCAGCCAAGAGAACGGCAGCGCCGGCAAATAAGGACCGAGATGACTTGAACGACAACCGTGAGGGGAATCCGCTTGGAGAGAAGACTGTGGAAGCACGCGAGAATCCAGGCACGGCTCGATCCAGAATGGCAATGAGAAGGCGGGGCACGTGAGCGGCAACATCGATTCCTCAACGGATTCGCCCGATATCGAGGTACAAACGCTCAATGATGTGGCAGCGGATTCCCAATCGACTCAGGATGACGAAACATGGCCCCACAGAAGGAGCGATCCCTATTGGGTTAGCGACTGGTCCGTGCTAGCGGGATCGGTGGAAAATTCCATCCCACCGACACGACCGCCAGGTAGGTGCGACCCGAAGGTCCATTGACAATGTTGACTTCTTTCCGTTGGCGGTTGACCTGAGGGGCCAAACGACAACGCGAAAGGTTCTTACGGAGCTTCAACCCAAAGGCGCAGCTTCCGAGGTGAATCTTTCACCAAACCCGAGTCAGGATGCTGTCGCGCGCTGTAATGGGCCGGACAGCAGGCTTGCGAGCGGCAGCGCTCGCATCGTCCCCTGCAATGCGGACTCGGGGCCTACCTGCCGTCTGGAGTCGAACCATGGCAAAAGAGAACAAGCCTCAACAACCCAGATTCAACAAATCTCAGAACTCCGGCTTGCAAAGGCCGACGAATGTGCCCCCAAGCAATCCCAATGCCACCCCAGGCTCTAAACCCTCCTCTCAGCAAGCAGCGCAACCAGCCGCTCAACCCTCTCCTCAGACTCCCCCAACGCCACAGCAAGAAGAGCAGCAACAACCCGAGGAACCGATACCCGACCTGTCCAAGCTTCCCGACCTGACGCAAGGCATCCCTTCGACCCTTGAATACGAGACTGCTGGAGCTACCAACCGGTCCGCATTGACAGCCGTCGACGAGGAAGCTGCGACGTCAAGCGGAGGGGGCCGGGCAAAGGGCGAGCTCCCGGCCTCAGCCTACATTTCGTCGTCGGAGCGCAGGCGCCAGAAGCTTGCTATGTGGGCGCTCGCATTCACCGGTGTGCTTTCCGTCGGAGGCATTGTCTACCTTGGAAGGGATTGGGACGAGGAAGAGCTCAAAAAGAAGCCTGAGGTGCCCAATGGCTGGAGCCTCAGCCTTTGGTGGAAGCGGGCCATGGCGCGCTTGGGGGATACCGTGACGTATTACCAGGAACCGGCATTCGAGAAGCTGCTGCCCGATCCGGACCCCTCTTTCGAGCGCCCATACACCCTGTGCCTTAGCCTGGAGGACTTGCTCGTACACAGCGAATGGACTCGGGAGCATGGGTGGCGGGTTGCGAAGCGCCCGGGCGTCGATTACTTCCTGCACTACCTCAGCCAGTACTACGAACTTGTCCTCTTCACCACCGTCCCCTTTGCCATCGGTGAGCCCCTGGTCCGCAAGCTCGACCCGTACCGCTTCATCATGTGGCCGCTCTTCCGCGAGGCCACCAAGTACAAAGACGGCGAGATTGTCAAGGTATTATCTCTTATGCTTCCGGTAGGGCTACGATGGCTAACAAGTCCACAGGATCTCTCATACCTCAACCGCGATTTGTCAAAAGTCATCATCATCGACACCAACCCCGAACACGTACGGGCGCAGCCTGAGAATGCCATTATCCTACCCAAATGGACCGGCGACCCCAAAGACAAAGAGCTGGTGTCTCTGGTGCCCTTCCTCGAGTTCATCCACACAATGCAGTATAACGACGTGCGCAAGGTAATCAAGTCGTTTGAGGGCACCCATATCCCCACCGAGTTTGCGCGACGAGAGGCGCTGGCGAGGGCGGAGCACAACAAACGCCTCCAGGCCAAGGCATCCCATGGAGGAGGCATGAGCTGGCTGAGCAGTCACCTTGGCCTCAAGCCCAGCAACATGAGCCTTATGGTTGCGCCTGAGGGAGAAGAGAATCCTCAGGAGGCATTTGCCAAGGGCAAAATGCTGCAAGACATTGCGCGCGAGCGTGGCCTGCGGAACTACCTGGCCTTAGAGGAAGAGATTCGAAAGAACGGCGAGAAGTGGCTCAAGGAGGAGCAAGAAGCCATGGAGAAGGCCCAAAAGGAGGCCATGAAGAGCATGAAGTCTTCCTTCTTCGGCTGGTTCAGGCCCTCCGAGGAGCAGAATGCGGGAACTTCGACCAGCACCGAAACCAAGAGCAGCTAACGAGACTGAGTCCCACGTTTGCTTAACCATGTATTAACACACCCATAGAACGCCTTTGTTGTTTCCCGGGTCTCGTCGGGAGATACAAGTACCTTACTTTTCCTTTCTGATGAGGTCGACACACTGGGCACGGTTGAAAGGCGCTGGGGTCAAGTGTGCAGGTATAGTCGGCATAGGCACATAAGCCACGAGCATAATGGCTCAGCAATTGAGCTGGGCTTTGTATCAAATCTCATATACCGTCGAAATGTACAACAGTCTATACAACATCGTTGGAGCTTCTTGTGGCCGTCACACCCCACGAACAATCTCTAAGAATACACATACCTGCTATGTTGGTTGTTCCAGAATGATGATAGCGCTTGCTAACCGTGCTGCAGTCATGGCCAGCCGCAGTGGACACCCGTTGTCAGAATACCGGCCCTCATGCCCCCCATCCACCTAGACGGAGAGGTGTGGTACATTGATTGGGCGTAGAATCTAGTTTCCCTCATCCTGTCGTTATTTCGTGTTCGCTACCGTCTGCTGATAATGGCGCCGTACAGGGATCCATCAAGAGGTATCAGAGAATCGCGCCCCTGAACCCCAGATTTCCCCGGTCATGATGCAGAGAGGTACTAGTAGGTATGGCGTCTGGGTCTCACTCTTTGTTGCCATGGCTGGAGCTTGGAGACCGCCTCTTTGCCCGCGACTCTACTCACTCTCCATACGGGCGATCCAGCCCATAGCATTGGGAATTTAGTACCACCCCTTTTGAAATTCTTTCTGTCCAAGTTTTGGGAAGTAAGCTCCATATGATGGGTTCTTTCTTCTGAGTGTTCAGGTAGTACAAGGCTTCTTCCACGATTGTCGACTGACCTTGGTTACGCCTCATCTTGGCCCCCTCGGTGGGTAAGAAAGGGATGCGTGGCTGTGGTTCTGTCACCTCCGTGATTCATCACACGGTCCAAGCAGTTATCCTCCGCAATACATGCGTGCCATTGGCTAAATAGTCGCCAACACCTCTGACTCCCAACCAACACAAGGTCCTCGGCCACCATACCCGGCCGTCCGCAGCCAGGCGCCAACACCCTAGAAAGATGGCTGACAGCGTGAGGACGGCACTAAAGACTTCAAGTACTGCGCCTTACGACTGCTCCCGATAGGCTTGGGTATAGTAGCCTCACTAATGGGGTAGGATCTGAGAGTTAACTGGCAAGGCTGATCAACAACGCGACGACCCAACATCCGAGCGGCGCATGTTCAGTGTTCTCTTCGCCGAGTCACCGAGGAAATGGGCAGGCTACCAGTTGTATTGAGCTTGGCTACGAGCTAAGCGATTTTAAATCTCACAATGGATGCTTTGGGGGTCGTTGTTTGGGTCCGGGCTAAGCCCTTCATAGACGCTTGAGTCCCAAGCACACACCCGTCGACGGCCTCCATCGTGACCGTGACCTTCGTTCGGGCCCGAGAAAACTCGGACTGGAGGACCAACAGGAGCAATGGGGGCAGAATCAGCATCCAAGCAATGCAGAGCCCTTATTGTCGGCCAGTAAGGGGCGAAGTATCATGAATCCTCGACTCGGACATGCTCGCTGACAGCCACGAACAGAACTGCGGTAACGCTGGGCGGTGCTTCGTGTTCACAGATCGCATTCATCGGCCAACCGAGCAGTATATAAAACCTGTCGTTTGCTCCCGTCCTTGCAGTGTCCCCAGCCCATCATCACATCCCAAGCATCTCATCTCTTCGCCTAGGCACCTTACCTTGTCACCGAACATACGAGAGCAGGTTCGCCACATCCTTTGGCTACTTCAATCTTCAACCTATTCACAGGCAACAAAGTTGTTCAACCATCAAAATGTACCTCACTCGCGCCCTCCTTACCGTTGCCCTGGCAGCCACGACCATCAACGCCTTACCCGGCAGTGGCAGATCGGGATACAACAAGGCTCCAACTCTGGACGTTCCGGAGGACCCAACCTCTGTCGACGAGAAACGGTCATCTGGGGATGTCATTCTTGGCCGTGACAGTGGCAGGTCTGGATACAACAAGGCTCCTACTCTAGACATTCCCGAGGCCACAACCAGCGGCGATGAGAGGCGAGCTCTCAATGTCATTCTACGCCGTGGCGGCAGGTCGGGATACAACAAGGCTCCTACCCCTGAGGACGGCACCGAGGCCGTAACCACTGTCGACGAAAAACGGTCGTCTGAGGTTGTCTATGTCCGCAAGTCTTAGATCGGCTATGACAACACGGTGAAGAATTCAATTTCTGTAGGTGAGCTCCTTATTATTGACATAGCGTTCTTGCGCTCCTTTGGTCATGGTAGCTGACCTCTGTGAAGGGAGTTTATACTTCACATCTGTGGCTCTTAGGGGGATTTGTTGACGACCAGGGATATACCGCCTGCTGCTGGGTTCAGCGGGGTGTGGTAGCTATTAAGAGTTTGGACACCAAAGGACGTGAAATGGAAGACAGCAGTAGATTTTAGGGGCAATCCTGTATTTCACTACTCGGTACATGTAGAGCCACACAAAGCCTGTTTCATTTAAGCAGGGCCATGTCTTTCCAAATGTTATGTCTACCTTCCGTTCAGGAATCCTTGCTCTCTAAGTCCTCATCCTCAACACGCCATAATCAGAAATCAACATCTGCTAGTACCACATGGAGGCATACAGCCAAGCCCACACTCACTGCTCGAATTACGAGTGCGCGTTTATGCATTTATATAGGTAGACATGTACTCATACTCAGATTAACCCCCTCTCATCCAGAGTCGACCTTCTTCGTGGCAACACCCTCTTTGGTTCCAGTTTGCACCATGTCCTTGCCGGTTCCCTTCTGTCGTGGAAACAGCGACGGTATTAACCGCCCAATGGCGGAGTCTACATCCAACCCAACCGCCGACAGCACGGCAAATATCGCAGAAAGTAGCACCCCCGCCACAACAACCAGATCCAATATATGAACAACCCACCAAAAGTGCTGCCGGCCCAGCGGGCAGGTGGCGTACTCGGCTTTCCACTCCCAGCTAGCCCGGTCGAACCAGACACTCAGCAGCCCAGCATTGCCGCCGAAATCACCCATCATGCTGCGGACTGTGATTTCCCTGACGCCAGGCACCCCTTCGCGCCCCACAATGCCCGCGGCCGTGGCCTGGCGCCAACGCTTGACCTCCCATTTGGGCTTCGAGTCCGGGTCTGTGACGGTTTGGTTGACGTAGTGCCACGTGTCGCAGCCCTCGTGGTCGTGGCCGTTGAGGATGATCCCCCGCCTGCCGCGCCCCCGCCCGGCGGCGTTAACGTCCCCGGACATGCCCAGGATGCCCTCGAGGAAGCCCTTTGAAGCGTCGGCGCTCAGCTGGTTCTGCTCCTTGAGCGTGCCGTCGTAGTCGTAAAAGTCAAAGAAGGGGTCGTCGACGCAGACGCCCTCGGGCTTGTACAGCGGTATGTGGGTCAGTATCAGGTTGAACTGGCCCTTGAACTCGACGGCGGCCGCTGTGTTGATGACGGTGTTGATGAATGTGTAGGTGTCGTCTTGCAAGTCGGACGATGCAGCGGGCGTGTCGAGATTCATGCTGTTAAGCACAATTATGCGCAGCTCGGGGATCAGACGGTCCGAGTTTGGATCGGGGTTCTTTTCGTCGTTGTAAAGACTCTCGGTCAACGAAGGGTCATCCCGGAGCAGCTCAAAGCGAAGCTCATAGTTGACTTTGCCAAAGGCCTTCTCGAACCGCTCGGCTCTCTGCTCGGTAATGTCGCCGGCATATCCGATATCATGGTTCCCTGCCACGTTGATGATGCGCCTGGACCAAGCGGTAGATTCGTTAAAAGGTCCGCCGCCAACATACCCTGTTACATCGTATTCCTGAGCCGGGTATGCAGCGACATCGTCCAGGACGCGCTCAGCAGCTCGGAAAACACGGCCCCAGTACCGGCCAGCGCGGCGGTAGAACTCCGCGTCGTCGAGCCATTGACTTCCCAGGAGGTCTCCGAGGACCGTGACATGTGTTGGGCGCGTCCACCAGTGTACGGTGCGGTAGATGTGGGCAAGGTAAAAATCGTTGCCGATAAGATCGAGACGCTTCCGCAGCGATTCAATCAGGTGGAATGTATCCTCGAGGCAGAGGTCGACAAAGTCATGGAGAATCTGTCGAATGCGCTGCCGGAGAGACGGGTGGTCGGACTGGAAGGTCGCGTGCTTGACAAGGCTCTGCAAATGCGGCAAGGTGCCGAGGTAATCGGTCGGGATCGACGTGTCACCCTCGAGTTGCGGGTCGCCGAGCGCGAGCAACCGGAACGGTGCAATCGGCCGCGCCGGGGCAAAGACGGTTGCGTTTCCTGCGGTGCCCGCGGCCAAGTGCCAATGCACCTTGGCTGTCTCGAAGAACGCTGCGCGGCGAGTGCTGGCCGAGGCGGCAGGAATACTGTCTTGGTCAGGTGGCAGTGGAAATGCGCACCCGTTGAAGATGGGGTAAAGGTACAGGTAAATGGTCAGTGCTACCGACAGAGGGACGAGAACGCGCAGGCCATTGCGAAGCAGCGCGGTGGGAGACGAGCGCGTCATCAAGAACGGGCACTGGGCGCCAGAAGCGGCCCTGCCCAAGCAAAGGAAAATGAGAGACAAGAAAAAAAGGCTAAAACAACTGGAAGTGAAAAAACGGAAAGGCAGCTACGAATGCATCAGGTTGGGTATTTTCGGAAATATCGGACCCTCGCGGTCATTGAAATGCGGAAGTCACCGACCTCTCGTTGGTTGGGCTTGGCAGGGGCGCAGGGCTCCAGTTTTCTGCAGGCTCCGCTGCGGCTGCTGCCGCTCGAAGGCTGAAGCACATGGCATGTGTGGAGCCTGGAGCCTTGTGATCTGTCAGGCTCAGGTGGGTCATCGTCTCGGAATCACCACCTCGATTCTTAACGGACGTTATTGCTGTAAACCTGCAACGGATGGATTGACTCAACAGAGCGCCTTAATGATTCCACATTCATATGGTGGAACCAATTGCCCCTCGACACAGGTCGGAAAATCAAATTGACTTCATCACCATAGAAAGCGACTAGTTATGGCGAGGACCACGACGGGGGCTACAACCTGTGCTGCAGCCGCCGCTCTCGAGAACGATCACCCGAATTTATTCTCGGGCAAGTATCAGGGGAAATAAGCGAGCCAGAACTGGTCCGCAATGCGCCACTGAGACTGAACCGTAGAGTCAGCCGTCGTCAGCTCGCTCTGACTCGGAAGAGGAAGACATCCCAGCGCAGTGCCCGAGCCCTTGGCTAAGGCTTCAGGGAATCTACAAGGTGGCACCCCTCCCATGGTAATCAGCGGAAAAGGGCTGAATGGCATCGAAGGAGGCCACCGACCTGCAGCGAACTCTCGGTGAGAAGGGGCAAGCAGGAGTTAAGGAGGCTATTAAGCGCGTGAAACTGAAGGTACTTGTACATAGCATGAGCGAAGACAAGGTAGCCCTGGGTAAGCTGATCGTTGAGCGGCCTGAGGTAGGCGTGTGCCGTGTATGCTAGGTAAGGTAGACGTCGGTTTCAAAAGCTCCCTAGCTTCGGTTATGTGCATACTACAACAGTACTAAGGTAATGCCCTGCAATGGGGACAGTGACGTGCAGTCCCTGTAGTAGTAATACTACAGTACTATAACCTGGAAATCGCAGGACCCAGTTGCCTAACATAGCATCATCTCAAGCTCGGATAGGGACAAGAATCAAGATGCATAGCGCCAATAGAAATCAGCAACAAGTTGGCAAGGAAACGATTTAAAATTGTCTGGCCGACTGTGTAGTAGATATCTAACTTGAAGGTAGAGCAGTGCACTGGTCTGGCGTCTTCGCCAACCGCTCGAGGACCTGACCCCTATCTTGCTAGTATGTGCCTAGGTAGGTAGGCTTGAGCCTTGAGGTCCCCTGATGGTGGAACAACGGTCTACGTTCAGAGGGCACCCACCCCCCAAAGTAGATTTCCTGCGTACTCAACCGCCCACCACCTCATCCCATGCTCACCTAGAGAGAAGAGACCGAATGCAACCAAGTTGACGACAATCACAACATGCTCACGTCCTTCAGAGATCCGTACCATTGACGCTATAAGCTGGCAAATCCCAGAGCTGAGAGCTCCCAGAGCCGGATTGTATCATCCGATGAACCCGAGGCTAATAGCCTCCCATCTGGTGAGAATGCCACTGAGTTCACGAAGTCGGTATGACCTTCAACCGTATACAATAGAGCACCTGTTGTCGGGTCCCAAAGGCAGACTATATTCATGTCTCCCCCGGGCCCGCCTAAACCAGAGGCTAATATCTTACCATTGGGCGAAAATGCTACAGTACGCACGTCGTTACCGGTGGAGATAACTGGATGCAATAGAGCACCGGTTGTTGTATCCCAGAGCCGGATTGTATTATCCCACGCACCCGAGGCCAGTATCCTGCCATCCGGCGAGAATGCTACCGCCTGAACGGACCTGATATGGCCTTCAAGGGTATGTAGTAGAGCACCCGTTGTTGGGTC